CGGCCTGCGGCCTGCGCGCGGGTTCCCGGCCCAACCGCCAGCACCGCCCGGAGACGCCCCCGCCGCCCGGGCCTGGGCAGCCGGCGTCGCGGGCGGCGGGGCCCTGCGCCGAGCGGGGCCGCCGGGGCCTCTCGCGGCTGCAGGCCGCCTCCCCGCCTCCCTGGGCGCCGGGCCGGCCCTGGGTGGAGCGGGAGAAGCGCGCTTCACGCCCCGGCCTCCTGCGCGGGTGCGGCCGGGTGCGGGGAGCCCCGGGAGGGCTTCCTGGAGGCGGAGGTTCTGAGCCCGGGTGGGCTGTGGGCTCCGAGGACGGCAGTTTCGGCCCCTCCGGTAGAATCGTAGCGGGCACTAAGGGAGCACCTTTCAAGCGCTCTAAGCCTCAGGCACTGCCTCCTCCCACCTCACAGAGATGTGAGCCAGGTGCAGTCACTCCCGTGTGATAGGTGAGCAGATGGAGATCCGGGGAGCTTAGTAACTGCAACTGGAGAGTAAGTCACAGCAGGATTGGGACCCTGGCCTGACGGGTTGGTTGCAAAGGGCCCAGGTGCCCAGCCACACCTTCCCCAGGTTACAGCAGGGGACGGAGGACCCTTTTGGGTCGGATGCTGAATGGGCAAGTGCAATCTCCATCATTCAGCCCCGGCCCAGGCCGAATAGCATCATAGGAGCAGCCTCTGAGATGCTGTGTCTAGTCCCCAATGGAGGGTCCTGCTCAAACAGGTGCTGAATGCTTTGGTTGACTTGGTCATGTGTTACTAATTTTCTCCAGGTGTCTCAGTGCCTCCTAGTCTGACCCACTGACACGCCTCGGCTTCACAGAGGCGGATGGGCTTGGTTTTGGTGTTGAGGAAACAGCCGTTTGGCTGTGGTGTACAGTAAGGGACCAGGCTAGGTCAGACTTCCAGCCATTGATAGCCAGGGCTGCTGTTTGGGCACAAGTTTGCCCATAGGTAGGCTGCACCGTGTTGGAACAGCTTCCCTGCAGAGCCTCGTCTCGGCTCTGAACCAGCTCCCACGCTCCAGACATGTGTGTTTGCATCCTTCTTGTAAACTAGGGAGGCAGGTTTGTTGTGTGACTGACCTCCTGTTGGATAGAAGAGGATGGGAAAGGAGCTCTATTCCACTTCCTAATTGTTCCTGTCCTTTAAAAAACAAAGAAGGCCTCTAAATGTCCCTGTTGGGAAGTTATCAGTACTGAGCGTGTGAAACGTGTGGCAAGCTCTGGAACTAAACATGTTTGGCTGTTGAGTGAAATGGATCTTAGGCAACTTTAAGATTCCATTAAGGCTGCGGGTTTTCTCCTGGAAAAATTTTTTTTCACATGAATCCAGAGCTTTGGCTGCAACTTCATCCATCCATGGCCAGTTCCATGCAGAGATCGTGGCCAGGTACATACAGAGATCATGGCCACGTACATACAGAGATCATGGCCACGTACATACAGAGATCATGGCCAGGCACATGCAGAGATCATGGCCAGGTACATACAGAGATCATGGCCAGGTCTGTGCAGAGATCATGGTCAGGTCTGTGCAGAGATCATGGCCAGGCACATGCAGAGATCATGGCCAGGTACATACAGAGATCATGGCCAGGCACATACAGAGATCATGGCCAGGTACATACAGAGATCATGGCCAGGCACATACAGAGATCATGGCCAGGTACATACAGAGATCATGGCCAGGCACATACAGAGATCATGGCCAGGTACATACAGAGATAATGGCCAGGCACATACAGAGATCATGGCCAGGCACATACAGAGATCATGGCCAGGTACATGCAGAGATCATGGCCAGGTCTATGCAGAGATCATGGCCAGGTACATACAGAGATCACGGCCACGTACATACAGAGATCACGGCCAGGTACATACAGAGATCATGGCCAGGTCCATGCAGAGATCATGGCCAGGTCCATGCGGAGATCATGGCCAGGTACATGAGCGATCATGGCCAGGTCCGTGCAGAGATCATGCTGAGGTGCCCAGAAGCTAATCGGTGAACAGGAGAGGCCCTGCTTGGGGCATAATAAGGCAGTGAGGGCATTAAACCATCTGGTTGAGAAATCTCTGCTTTTTTTCTTTTCCTGTTAGGAACTCAGATGAGCATTAGAAAGTAAACAAGTGTGAACTGAAAGTGATTATGAGACATGTACTAATTTATTAATCCTGTTTCATGAACAGGGAGCAGCTTCCTCAAGCACTGGAACAAGGGGTGTGGATGTGAAAACTCATGTATTTTACTCGTTTCAAGCGGTGTTATGTTAGAAAGGGTTGAATCTTTTTTTTTTCTACCAGTCAACTAGTTATTTTTATGATTAGCGGTTGCTTTTCACTTTAAAAACCACTAAGTTTCTGACATCCATGGGTGTTTTCTTGGTGGTGAGCTGTTTTAGAAACCATTTACTTCAGCCAGTTAGATTGAAACTGGACTCTATTTGAAGGGAAAGAGGTCAGCCAGAAACAGTATTAATGACCGCTCCCCAGCCCATAAAACACACACATTTTAAAATATAAATCTATTTTGAAATTGAATTATAATTGACAGGTAATATTGTATTAGTTTTGGATATACAACATAATGATTTGGTATTTGTAAATATTGCAAAATGATCACCACAGTAAGTCTATTACCTTTGTTACCATACACTACTAAATATGTTGCTCTGGCTGGTGTACTAAGTGGTTAGAGCGGCAGCTCACACACCAAAGGGTCACGGGTTCGAGCCCCAGTCAAGGGCACATACCTGGGTTGCAGGTTTGACCCCCAGTCCCGGTTAGGGAGGGTGTGGGAGGCAACCAATTGATGTGTCTCTTTCACATCCATGCTTTTCTCTCTCTCCCTCTGTCCTCCTCCTCCTCCTCCTCCTCCTCTTCCTCCTCTCCTCTCTCCCTTTCACTCGCTCTAAAAATCAATGGGAAAAAATTTATTCAGGTGAAGATTAACAAAAAAAAATTTTTTTTTCTTGTGATAAGACCTTTAAGGCAGGGGTCCTCAAACTACGGCCTGCGGGCCACATGCAAATACAAATATTGTATTTGTTCCCGTTTTGTTTTTTTACTTCAAAATAAGATATGTGCAGTGTGCATAGGAATTTGTTCATAGTTTTTTTTTAAAAATATAGTCCGGCCCTCCAGCGGTCTGAGGGACAGTGAACTGGCCCCCTGTTTAAAAAGTTTGAGGACCCCTGTTTTAAGGTCTCTCTTAGCAGCTCTCAAATCTGCAGCTCGGCAGTATTAGCTGGAGCCAGTCACACTTTAAATGCGCATGTTAAGTGCAGGCTTCTGAAGAGTAGTGGCCTCTTAGAAGGGGACAGTGAGGACGGAAAGGGACAGCTGGGCTTTTGGCCACTTGGCTCATGAGTCCAATTCTGTGACTACCTATCAGCGCCTTTCACGGAGGACTTTCCTCCCTTTCCCACCGGTTGGTATGCTGATTGCCAGGTGCCCTAGTCCGCGGGGGTGGCCATAACAATGCCACGGACTGGGGGACCTAAACGGGCATGTATTTCCCACCGTCTGGAGGCTGGAAGTCCGACATCAAGGGTCAGCAGGGCCGGTTTCTTCTGAGGCCTCTCCCCTGGGCTCGATGATGGCCATTGTCTCGTGTCTCTCTCCGACCTGTCTCATAAGGACACCAGTCACGGTGGGGCAGGGTCCACCTGACTCCCCCATGGGAACTGCGCCCCTCTCGAAAGGCCTTGTCTCCAAATAGTCACATGGCACTCACCCTCATACCAGGGCAGTGGTTCTCAACCTTCCCAATGCCGTGACCCTTTAATACAGTTCCTCATGTTGTGGTGACCCCCAACCATAAAATTATTTTCGTTGCTACTTCATAACTGTAATTTTGCTACTGTTAAGAATTGTAATGTAAATATCTAATATGCAGGGTGTATTTTCATTGTTATAAGTTGAACATAATTAAAGCATAGTGATTAATCACAAAAACAATATGTAATTATATATATGTTTTCCGATGGTCTGTGAAAGGGTCATTCGACCCCCAAAGGGGTCGCGACCCACAGGTTGAGAACCGCTGCACTAGGGAGTAGAACTGTCCTCAGAGTGGACGAGGTTAGGTGGACTCGGGAGAGAAACAAAACCTGTGATTCTTCATACTGTCTCTGCCCCTGCAGATACTGGGCCAACCTGAAGCTGTGGTTCAAGCAGAAGATCAGCAAAGAGGAGTTTGACCTGGAAGCTCACAGACTTCTCACACAGGATAATGGTAAAATAACTACCCACCTGGGGGGCTTCCCAGCTGTGCAATAAATTAGTCTTTTCACTTAAAAAAAATAAAAGTTTGATTTTAGTGGCATATAAGGCCATTTTAATAATGTGATATTTAAAATTAAGTGTAAAGAATGGCAGAACAGGGGATACCCCAAATCCTTAAAAGCTACGCTGAAGTAGTGGTTTCCTTTTAACTATCGTGTATTTGACCCTGCCCTCCTCCCTTTTACAGTGCACTCTCACAACGAGTTCCTCCTGGCCATTCTCACGCGGTGCCAGATTTTGGTGTCTACCCCAGGTAAGGGAGGGCAGTACGCCCGAGACACTGGCTTCAGCTTCCGGAAACAGACACCTGTGTTTGCAAGCGAAATGTTCTTTGAAGGGCTGAGAAAGGGGTGGTGTGCTGGTGCAGATTCCTTTATGGCCATGTTAAAGCAGGGCTCTCCCTGGACTCACAGCACCTTTGGTCATGACTCCCCACCCCACTGGACTTCAGACACTGAAGTGTGCAAAGTGGGGAAGGGCTGGGCGGCCAGGATGAAGAAGTGGAGGCCAGTGCAGGGAGGGCAGCAGCGGGGTTTGCATAGATGGAGGGAGTGGGGATTATAACTTGTGGGGAACCTGGGCTTCCACTGGTGAGATACTGGCACCTGGAAGGTAGGTTAGAGCTTCCACATGTGTGTTTGGCAGATTATTGGTGGAAAACAAAGGTCTTGGACAGCAGCCTGGTGGGAGGTTGAACTAAACAGGCGTTGATAGAAACACCCACCCTGTGTCCCTAATTGCTTGGAGCTTAAGTGGTACAAGCCACCTCTTTCAGCCATCTTGTTTTAATCAATTCGTCCAAAACAAATAATTGAATACATGCAAAATTTGCCCCATGATAAAACTTAGCCTGGGCTCTTGTTAAAAAGTGCATTCTTAGGTACCTCCTGCTGTCGAGTAAGTTGAATTTTTTTTAAAAAGGGCTGTGGAGATGCTGATGATCATGTAAAAGCCCATATTTATCTAGAAATGGCCAGTGTTTTGTATCATCCATCCCCGTGCCAACCCCTATTGTGTGATAAAGAATTCAGGAAAGGTCGCCTGGAGCCAGTTCCTCCTCCAAGAAGTCCCCATTGGGTGCGTCCCTAACCCTCACCTGCCCTCACAGCGCGGGCTCACACGTGTCAGGTGTTCGTTCAGCTTAGAGTGGACTTTGGCCGGGTGGATCATAGAGGTAATCCACTTCATTGTGAAAACCTAACTTGATCAGAGAACCAACACCGTGAGGATCAGATCTTGCTTTTGAGGCAGATCTTACTTTTGAGCGTACTGTGAGGCGCCACACACCCAAGAGATAAGGGATCTGAAATGAAAACCCTGGTTGAGTGGAGACCTGGGTACAGGTTTAGCTTAGAGCAGCGATTCTCAACCTTCTGGTCCTTTAAATACAGTTCCTCATGTTGTGACCCAACCATAAAATTATTTTCGTTGCTACTTCATAACTGTAATGTTGCTACTGTTATGAATCGCAATGTAAATATCTGATATGCAGGATGGTCTTAGGCGACCCCTGTGAAAGGGTCGTTCGACTGCCAAAGGGGTTGCGACCCACAGGTTGAGAACTGCTGGCTTAGAGAAAGGAGCTAATTATTGGATGGTCTTAGCTTTAATTTGTAAAATAGAGACAGTGATGTCGAACCTACGGGATAATAAATAAATAAACAGACAAAATAACAAGTAAAAAGGTGCTTTTAAAAATACAAAATGCTTGTGCCTTAGCCAGTTTGGCACAGTGGATAGAGTGTCGGCCTGCGGACCAAAGGGTCCTGGGTTCAATTCCAGTCAGGGGCATGTACTTTGGTTGTAGGCCTGGGCCCTGGTTGGGGCTCGTGCAGGAGACAACCAATCGATGTGTTTCTCTCACATCGATGTTTCTCTCTGTCTCTCCCTCTCTCTTCCACTCTCCCTAAAAATCAATGGAAAAATATCCTCAGGTGAGGATTAATACACACACAAAAACCCACAAAAATGCTTAACAAATATGGAGAGTTATTAATAAGTATAGCTGGTTGACCTGAATTAAATAAAACCTTTGATATTCTTGAATGTTTATTATTGGTTATTTTTAGATAAGTAAAGAAACATTTGGAATCTGACAGATTATTTCTCCATCAACACCCCAAATATATTTTCTTGAAATGAAATTATTTAATATTGGCTAGCAACAAAGAGAAGGTTTCTGTTACAAGTAGAATATAGAAATGTGGGTCTGTACCAGCAGCCGTTGCAGGTGAATTACAATGAGCTTGTATTACTTTGACTTTTTTTCATTAACACCAAACAAGACGGTTAAAGAGAATAGTGCAGAAGGTCTTACAATGAAAAGCTTCTTCCCACCCTCATCCTGTTCTGAAAGACAGCTACGCTTGCGTTCTGTTCTGGGGCCTTAGTAGCTCCTCATACAGTATGCTTATTCTCTCTCTACATACACTGACCTTAGACGAGTGTTTCATCATCTTACTGCTCTGTGTTTTGTGAGATTTCCTCAGCTCTTCTGTCAGCCTTTCTGTCTCATGCATCCTTTAATTCAACATTTCCATAGAATCTTCCTTTGTGTTACGGATATGTGACTTCTCAGAATTCTCTGAGGATACCAGCTAGGCGTGACTTGAGTCCTCTGTGTAGCCTGGATTCTTTACCTCTTGAACCTCTATTTTTCGTTTGCTTAACTTGGTCTTTCTTAAAGTGCTTCAGGTAGATTATTGTCACACACCTGGGGTTTCATATTTAAGAAATAGAGGCCCGGTACACGAAATTCGTGCACTGGGGGTGGGGGTGGGTGGGGACTGTCCCTCAGCCCAGCCTGCACCCTCTCCAGTCTGGGACCCCTCGGGGGATGTCCGACTGCCAGCAGTTGGACATCCCTCTCACAATCCAGGACTGCTAGCTCCCAACAGAAAACCCTGCAGAGACAAGCCTCCCTCTGTGACTTGCCTGCCTGCCAGCCTGATCGCCCCCTAACCGCTCCCCTGCCAGCCTGATTGACACCTAACTGCTCCCCTGCCAGCCCGATCGCTCCCAACTCCCCTCCCCTGCAGGCCTGGTCGCCCCCAACTGCCCTCCCCTGCAGGCCATCTTGTGACGATGTGGGGGCGGCCATCTTGTGACATGAGGGCGTGATGGTCAATTTGCGTATTACCTCTTTATTTTATAGGATGGGCTTCTTCCTTGGAAGCCAGCTACCTTAGTAAACCCTAGAGATGCTGTCCCTTTAACTTGAGCCCTCGGTGCTCTCCCCACCTGTGTTAAGTACCACGTGGATGGCAGTGAGCAGGGCTGGCCTCACAGCAGGTGGACTGCCCCAGAACTCAGACGGCCCCGCACTGGGCTAAGGTAGCTGTCTGAACAGGGCACCTGCATTTCTGCTCTGTACTGAGTCATACGGGGGGTAGGGGTTTGTGTGGATGACTTTTGCCTGTAGACCTCCCACCGATATTACGGGTCCCTCCTGGTGCCCGCTGCACTCACCTCCTCCAGGTCCTTTCGGGTTTCTCTGAGGCAGGTTGACTCCCGCCTCACTGCCTGCCTGTGAGGAGGTCCGTGGCGTTGGTTTGCTAGCTGGGTCATGGCCAACTCGTGTCGGCTCTGTAAGCCAGCACCGTTCAGCCCATCGTGGACATTTGTCGAGATCTCATCTGGTCCCCTACTCATTGTCCTCTTCCTTGCTGTGTGGGCGGCTCCTTTACTTTCCTCTGTTGCCATTTTTAGCGGGTCCTGAAGGAGAGCAGGTTAGCACACGTGCTCGGTTCCCCATCCTGAGCTAGAAAACCCTGCTCTGCTTCTGTGGTGTGCTGCAGGGAGCAGTAGCTGACGGTCCTCCCTCTGTGACACAGATGCAGGGACAATAGCTGACAGTCCTCCCTCTGACACGGCTGCAGGGACAGTAGCTGACGGTCCTCCCTCTGTGACCCAGCTGCAGGGAGCAGTAGCTGACGGTCCTCCCTCTGTGACACGGCTGCAGGGAGCAGTAGCTGACGGTCCTCCCTCTGACATGGCTATAGGACAGTAGCTGATGGTCCTCCCTCTGTGACACGGCTGCAGGACAGTAGCTGACGGTCCTCCCTCTGTGACACGGCTGCAGGACAGTAGCTGACGGTCCTCCCTCTGTGACACGGCTGCAGGACAGTAGCTGACGGTCCTCCCTCTGTGGCACGGCTGCAGGGAGCAGTAGCTGACGGTCCTCCCTCTGTGGCACGGCTGCAGGGAGCAGTAGCTGACGGTCCTCCCTCTGTGACCCAGCTGCAGGGAGCAGTAGCTGACTGTCCTCCCTCTGTGACATGGCTGCAGGGAGCAGTAGCTGACAGTCCTCCCTCTGACACGGCTGCAGGGACAGTAGCTGACGGTCCTCCCTTTGACACGGCTGCAGGGACAATAGCTGACGGTCCTCCCTCTGTGACCTGGCTGCAGGGACAATAGCTGACTGTCCTCCCTCTGTGACATGGCTGCAGGGAGCAGTAGCTGACAGTCCTCCCTCTGTGACCCGGCTGCAGGGAGCAGTAGCTGACTGTCCTCCCTCTGTGACATGGCTGCAGGGACAGCAGCTATGGTATGGAAAACCAAGCTGTCGTCCTGAGAGTAATTTTGGTTACAGCTAGAAAAGGAAGTGGAAGAAATTTGTGATTTTGTTTAGAGAAGCAGAAAAAGAAGATGTGAATTTGTTTTTTATTGATTTACATTATTTGAGCATTCCATACTTGTTTTTAGCCCCAAATGAAAACACTTAGCAGATTCCGACTCATGGTTTTCTCTCACGGTCCTTGCTTCCTGTCTCCTAGAGGGTGCCGGCTCCTTGCCCTGGACAGGCGGCTCCGCAGCCAAGCCCGGGAAGCCGAAGGGAAGGAAGAAGATGTCTTCTGTGCGCCAGAAATTTGATGTAGGTTGTTCGCCAGTAGGTCTGGGTAACCACTGGTTTAAGTTTTTACATGAATATGAAGTTACTGGTAATTGAGTTGGGAAAAGGGGGCGTGCTGTGGGGGAAAGGTGTTCCTGTTTGTGAAGTTGGCGCCTGAATTTTTCTAATTCTGGTTTGTTCTGCATAAACATTAATGTTCTCAATAGCATCCGTGATTTTTCAGTGATTTGGAAGCTATGCCTGTGTTCTTTCTCTGAAATGTTTCTCTGGAGGGACTGGTGTCCCACGGTCCAGGAGGCCTCAGGCCGCAGGGCCGGGGCCTGGCAGTGCCCAGCAGCCCAGGCCTGTCCTGTGGGCCAGCAGAGAAGGCGCAGGGGCATTTGGCTATAGGATTTGTACACATTTAGAGTAACCGGCTTTTTCCTGAGGGAACAGTTTCCTTAGAGTCTCCCTGCTCTTGGTGTTGTCGGGGAAGCCATGGCTCTGGATTAACACCACAAGCACCGATCCTGCCTCTGCTGTTTCAGCTCAGCAGCGTTCCGCCTGGAGGCATCCGGACCCAGGGAGGCCTCCTGCTCACATGCATGCTGCTGTACAGTGCCGCTTCTCCCCTGGAAAATGGGAAAAACAAGTGTTGCTTTTCTAATACAAACTTCAAACACGTTAGCCACAAAGTGTTGTATGTTGTGCTTAACCACAAGCTGCCAGGGCCCGTCTCTGGATGGTGACGGAGAGTATCAATGGGCTCTCAGCTCTCCCAGAGGAGGCTGAGGCTTTCTGAGCAGAAAAACGATTGAGAAAACGATTTTAAATCATGAGGCTGGCGATGTGTTGTTGAGAATTGGAAGTGGAAGGCAGTAGGAACAGTCACACTACACTACACAGCATTGTCTTGGAGCATTTGCTGTTAGGTCTGTCCTGTTGGGTAGTAAGACTTTCCAGGCTTAACTGAAGGGTTGATTATGTCCTGATACTTTCAGAACCTGCCTGCTAATGTACACTTCACACACTCTCACTTGTTTTGAATATAGTTTTAAACCAGGGATCCTCAAACTTTTTAAACAGGGGGCCAGTTCACTGTCCCTCAGACCATTGGAGGGCCGGACTATAGTTTAAAAAAACACTATGAACAAATTCCTATGCACACTGCACATATCTTATTTTGAAGTAAAAAAACAAAACGGGAACAAGTACAATATTTGTATTTGCATGTGGCCCGCGGGCCGTAGTTTGAGGACCCCTGTTTTAAACCTTCTCCCTGATTGTTACTCTAGCACAGAGTCCTGTGCTCTGTGGTTACAGAGATGCTAATTATTAGAAAAATCAGCTATGCATGCTAGCGTGCTCCCCTCAAGCCACGCCTCCGTTATTTCCATGAAACACGCATGAGTCTGTGACTATTTGTGCATGAGGCGTTGCTTTCTTGTTTTTCACCCCGGTGGCGTGGTCCTGGTGGCGTGGTCCTGGTGGCGTGGCTCTGTGGGCTGTGCAGTCCAGGACGTTGTTACTCTTGTTTGCGTCTCGTTACTCGCCACTGTAATGAATAACTTTGAAAGGTTTTCTTACTCAGCACAGATTCCAGCCTCAGAACCCCCTCTCGGGAGCCCAGCAGTTTGTGGCAAAGGATCCCCAAGATGACGATGACTTGAAACTGTGCTCCCACACAATGATGCTGCCCACGCGGGGCCAGCTGGAGGGGCGGATGATCGTGACGGCGTACGAGCACGGCTTGGACAACGTCACCGAGGAGGCCGTGTCGGCTGTGGTCTACGCCGTGGAGGTGGGTTTGCTGGTGGCAGAAACAGGGTTGCGTGTGATGAGCTTGTGTGTGTTGTTGGAAGTTGCTCCTGCAAGAAAAGACCCCACATGTCACTCTGATCTCAGAATTGTCATCATTCACGTAATTTCCTCTGAGGGAGAAACGCATCGCACTCCAGGCAGGTGCCTTCGCTTTACAGGTGAGCTTCCTGGAGGCGACTGGTGTTGGAGCCCATGTGTCATCTGTCAGCACGGGGACAGTTTTTAAGGGGGCAAATGAGATCGAGAGTCCTAGGGACGAACTCACGGGGTGTCGCTGTGTCTGGCATTAGGAGAGCTCGACGTGGCGTCTGCACAGTGGGTTCCTGTCGCAGACGCTCCGTCACGCACTCGGTTTTTCACGTTACCGGAGAGGGTCCCTGGGGCCTGGAGTGCACAGGCGCTCCAGGGACGCTGGGTCACCTTGCACTTCTCTGGGTGTCCCTTTCCTCACCCGGACCTCAGAGATGTAAGTTACAAACATTAAAATGAGCTCCGTGTGTGGAAATTATAAACTGCCATGAACTCCTGATGGGAGAGGATCTCACTGGTGTCACTGAAATGCCATCCCTGATCCCGATAACAAGGGCAGGCTGGGACGAGCTGTCACGTCGCCAGCCCTCTTCTATACTTGGCTCTCATGAGGTGAAGGGATGAAACCCCGATTTTTCTATGTCCTGTGTACCTGTGTTTACATGAGAGAGCCACGGTTCTCTTCAGGGAGGGGGCTCAGTGGGTTGGGCACTGGAACCCAGAAACCCCGGAGCTTGAGACTTTTTAAAGCAAGTTTCAAGGTGGGTGCCTCTTTTAAAGAAAATTACTCACTTTTGTGCTTTTATTTAAAGCTATCTGAAAAGCATCTTTTAAATTTTTTTTATTGATTTCAGAGAAGAAGGGAGAGGGGGAGAGAGAGAGAGAGATAGAAACTTCAGTGATGAGAGAGAATCATTGATTGGTTGCCTCCTGTACGCCCCCTACTGGGGAGCGAGCCTGCAACCCGGGCACGAGCCCTGACCAGGAATTGAACCATGACCTCTCCTTGTTTATAGGTCGATGCTTAACCACTGAGCCATGCCCGCCAGGCTGGAAATCATTTTTCAGATTTAGAGATACGAAACCTTTTAAAGTAAATTCCATGTAGAACAAGCCCACCTGAAGTAGAACACAGTAAAGCAGCCCACCCCCTCCTCCTGGCCCCTCCGGTCTGGCTCTTCGGTGAACCTCGTGTGGTCCGGCACGGGCACCGCTCCCCTCCCATCGGCTGAGTCCTGTGGGCGTGAGCACCTCAGGGGAAGTCTGAGGATTTGCTCTTAAACGGGACTTCATGCTGTTTTTCTTCTTGTTTTTACAGAATCATCTTAAGGACATACTGGCATCGGTTGTATCAAGAAGGAAAGCATATCGGTTGCGAGACGGTCACTTTAAATACGCGTTTGGTAGTAACGTGACCCCACAGCCGTACCTGAAGAACAGCATCATGGTGTACAACAGCTTAATAGAAAGGTATGCGTGGCTGTGACGTCCCAGCCTCCATTCCCGGCGGTGACACTGCTCTGTGTACCGACCGCTGTCAGAGAATGGGTTGGTGCAGCCGTAAGTCTGAGGTTTTACTCATTGTGTCGTTCATCCGCCACTTCCCACAAAGTTCTGTCCAAATGTTAAGCCTTTGGGAAAGAAAAACACTCTGTTTCCTTGTGGGAACTGAAGTGACTGCATTTCTGCAAGTGCTGGGCTTGGTGCATCTGGTCATGGCGACTGGGAGATGTTCCGAAGAAAATGATGGGGGAGGCGGGAGCGATGCAGGTGCAGGGTGACAGGGAGGGAGGTGGGAGGAGAGACAGTGTTGGCGCCACAGGGAGGGGCTCTGCCAGCGCCGTTCCTGCCTCCGAGGACCTGGGCCGCAGCTCCTCACCCTGGGCGCACTGTGTAGGTGACGATCAGTTCTCAGTCTCCTGCAGGCCTGTGTTTGGGATTACTTATTCTCATTTGTAAGTCATTCTAGAGAAAAACAAACCAAAAAAGGGGGCTCCTGCGGTGGTGAATTCTGGGGACAGCGTCCCTTACTTGCCAGGCGTCTGAGCCGCCTCCCCTGCGCAGTCACCCAGGGCTCGGGCTCCTCGGGTGGGCTGTTTCCGGAGCAGGGCTGCCTCTGGGGCCCACGCTGTCCTCCGCGTCACCTCCTCGGTGTGGCTTCACGCCTGCGTGTTCTGCCGCAGAGGGTCTGCGCTGTGTCCTGGTGCTGAAACTATGCCCGCCTTCTCACCTATTGCACCTGCGCCCTGGGGACGGGCCAGATGGGTTAGTTCCCCCAGGGCCTGCATTTGGCCTGTGGCCGCCCTTGTGCTGACCATGTCTTCTGGCGGGTTCTCCCTGATCCTGTTGGTTCCAGCACATCCACCTTCCTCTCTATGTCAGTGTTTTGTTTCCTCTTCCTTGAATGAAGGTCTATTGTGTTTTTTCAACTCGAAGCTCTTTAAGGGCAGGGAACAGTCTTGGCTTTGTGTCTGGAGTGTAGTAAATATTTTAACGTGGAGGGAGGGGGTCGGTAGTTGCTCTACATTTTGTTTCCTGCGTGCCAGATGGGCTGCCTTTAAAAATGAAAATTTTACTCTTCCTCTATGCACTCACTAAAAAATAGCTGGGTTCCTACTTCCTTTTAGATCTTTTTAATGAGGTGCATCCCTGCAGCCCGTTCCTAGTCTCGCCGTTGGGTGTCTCCTCGGAGTTGCTGGGTGTTTCTAACATCCTCTGTTTTCAGCCCTCCAGCCCTTCCTGCCCCCTGTGTCGGCCAGAACGCAGCTGCCCACCTGCACCCCGACGATGCGGAGCAGCAGGCCGCACTCCTGCTGGCGTGCTCCGGGGATACCCTCCCCGCACCCCTGCCTCCTGTGAACATGCATGACCTTTTTGAAGCTCTACAGGTAACTCCTGGCTCCTGAAGGTTTTCCTGGGTTTATGGGTGGCATTCAGGAGCTTTCGTACTTCCCGGCCTTTCGTTTTTCAGTTTGGGCTGTTTTCTGTTAAAGCCATTCATCCCCCCTCATTTTTAAATCCTGGGCCCAAGTCCTTCCTAATTTCTCTCCCATCCCCCACACCTCCCCAATGAGAGAAAGAAGAGGGAAAAAAAACCTTGTTCCCTTATTTCTACTTCAGAACCTTGTTATTTCCTGTTTTCTTGTTAGTTGGCTTGGAATTCGTTAGGCTCTGGCTTGAAGTTTGTAAGTTGTGTGTCTTTTGTGTGAGTATTTTGTGGATCTAAACCTTTTACATGTTAGAAATGT